GGCAACATCAACACATAAAACAGCAGGGCGATCGCAGTTGACGTGTTTTAGAAGCACTGCCGTTTTGAAACGAGACATCACAGCTGCGCAGCGATAAATACTGTGACTATAATCATGTTTTCTTTGCATATTATCCCAGGCCCTGCGCGCAGTTTACGCCGTGGAGCCTTTCCCTTTGTCTGAAAGCCGCCTTCGGCCGAGCAGCATGCCACCCCCTCGGCCGCTTAACGCGGCGGCGCTGCAGTGATTCAGCAGAATGTTTCTGGAGCGCTTCACCGGAGCGCCGTCTTTCAGGCCACGGATAGATTTAGAAAGGTGCTTCTCGTTTCCTGTGGGGGGTTCTGTTTCAACCCACTTTTTACCAGACACACGAGAGGTCGAATGTCCCCGACCATGTGGCCAGGAGAGAGGATAACACTGGAGATGGATTTAAAGGACAGCATTTCCTGCCCGTTTCTTATTCTTCTTGGCAGCTAGGCATAGAGGCGTTTTTTTTTCCATTTTACCTGCTGCAGTTTCAATCTCCTCTAATGGACACTGAGCACCCTGTTGAATACAAACGTACACTGATATCTGAAATTCTTTTTGTATGTAATATGTGGTAAAAGAGTCTGTCTAGCACACATCTTAAAAATAAAATAATAATAATAGCAGTGGAACGCCAGATTAAACGAGTTTGTTGAACTGCAACTTCCTGTGTCTGTAGGTGTTTTAGTGCTCTGTAATTTGTGAGCAGTGCTGTCATGCACTGCTTACGGCTCTTTTCAGCCGAGGTGACCCGATTTTGTCATCTGTCTAGCTGTCGGCTTCACAAGCCACACCAGAGGCACTGCCAGCCCTGTCACGGGGAGCTGGGAACATCGCAGTCCTGGGAACTGCCACCAGAAGATATTACTTCATTGCAGCCCCCTTCCCCCCCCGCACACACACACATAAATACACACACACACACACACCCAAGATGGCGAAAGAATGTGCTGTTAGATATGTGCTGTTATATTTCGATTTTTGCATAAGGAACTAGCCACACTTTGAAGGACCTTTCTGGAGAAGTGCGAGATGTTAAACGGGGCTGCCTTTAAATTCTCCATGGCGTGTTTGTCTTCTGGTCTCATTCCAGTTGCTCATACTCAGAATTTATGTCAGACCACAAGGCTGCAGTAAGTCACCGCAATAAAAAGGGGCGGAGTCTCACTTGTCACTTCGCCTGCACAGTGTTTCAGGGTGTGTGTGTGTGTGTGTGGGGGGGGGGGGATTGGCACCTTTACCCCAGTGTTCAAATCTTTCTGCCAAAAAGTCAGCAGTGCTTACATTTGAATCCATATGTTAATCATTTGACGTATGATGAAATGTGTCTACCACTTATTCAGACGCAGTGGTGCATGTTCCATCCTTTGATTGTGCATTAAAATGCCACATTTTCCACTCTTCTCAGATATTCCATTATGCTGTATATACAAAATTCTTATTCCCCGACCGTGTTGTGCAGTCATTTCAAAAGTAAACATTCTTGTTGTTTTTTCTCTCTAACAGGATTCTCCTGACAGAATTATACAGATTGAGCATGTAGCTATAGTGGAGCATGCTGCTTTCAGATACGTGGTTGGTGTTTAGTCCAGCAAAACAATCAATAGTGGCATACTGTATAAAAAGTGACGATAGGGGCAGATCTGCTTCGCCGTCGCTGTGTCGCTCACCACTGGCAAGTATGTGAACAGAGAATCTCTTTGCCGTGCTTGAAGGATGTTCCCCCTGCGACGTTTTTCCCGTAACATCATTTTGACAGTGCTGCAGGCATGTGCAAGACAGCATATGTTAGCTGGGTGTACCAGTACGGGTTCTGTTCCTGCTGAGGAGTGTGCAAGGTTTGTCACAGGGATCGTTACTGAGATGGCTGGCTTGCCATCCAGACTTTTTTCTAAGCTCGGGGACATTCTTCTGCATCTCTCCTGTCCTCCTCTATAGAAAAGAAATGGCATTTTAGCGTCAGACCCCCAAATCTATGGACGTGTTCTCTGAGCCACACGGTTTTGACATCAGCCGGCATAGAAACTCGTGGGACGGGAAGTCGGACCTCTCATCCCGTTTGGCGGGTGTCTGGCCGTTGGCGGAGATTCTGGGAATGGCTGAGTTTGTTCGGCTCTGTGGGAAAGCCCAAATCCTGACATGGGAAGGCCCCATGACCTCCCATATGTGGCTTTCTTCTTTGCGCTTCGGAAACATGTACTGGGAGGACTCTTTGCAAGAGCTTCTACCTGTGCTTTACAGGGAGGAGCAACAAATCCTGAAGCATCAAACCTGAACTCTACAATGATCCTCTGAAAGCCACGTTTTTGCTATTTTTATCTTGGCAGCAGTAAGTTTTTGGACCAAGTGCGAGTAGGAAACTAGTTTGATAGCGATTCTTAATGGGTTTTCTCAGGCCTTAAGTAAAATGATTAGTTCCTCAGAGGCACTGGCCTTTCAACTCTCATTGTGAACAGACCACATGGATTGGGAATGGGGGGGGGGGGGCTGGAAGGAAGGAAACATCAGTACCGATCTTCAGGATCTGCAGACTGATTGAAGAGCAACATCGCACAGAATATCGCGCGGGATGCAGTGAGGAAAGCTCGCATTCGCTGCGGTGCTGGAATCTAAGTGTCTGGTGGGGTCTCCGAATACTTATCACGCAAATGACTGGCTCTCGGAGATGAAACGATTGTTTACCAAGATACGTGGTGGGATGTTGCCAGGAGATACTTTGCAAACATGTCCAGTTAAGGTGATACATGGGCTGGCTTATTCCAGAGAAGCTTCAGAGAAATCCTACATCAGGCACGTTCTGCAGTATGTAAATGCAGTGATCAATGGGGATTTGTTGCCAGAGATTAGCTGTACGAAGTTGGGGCCTGGTGTGTCAGCTAATAATGCCATGTACATAAGCCTACTGAGGAGAAATCTTTAGGTTGTTTGCTGTAGGATTACCGCTTCGCCTCTTTTTGGCTGCCGCGCCATATTGCGAGCTGGGCTGTGGGTCTCTTCACGGTATATGACTAGGGGGAACTGGTTGCCAAACATCCCGTTTATTTCTCTTGTGTTGTATGTGTAGCAACGATAAGCCAAATAAAATGTATCTCTAACATAAAACTAATTTCCTAATTTGCCTCCAGGGATCAATAAAGTAACATCACATCTGTCATCGCAAATCTCAAATTCTAGCCATTCCTCCGGCTCCGCTGTGCCTAGGCTAGTATTACGTCTCACATGCCATTTCTTCACACACGGCGCATTTAAGCCGGTTGCAGGAGCCGCATTCATGTGGCGCCACCATTGCGCAATATCAGCTGCCATTATATTAATGAAGATCAGGGCAAGGATTAGAAAGGAAGGGATCAGCTTTCTTTATTAGTCTTCGGACAGTCAAGATCTTAAGATATTCATCAAGTATAATTGCCCAGTGCACAGGTTAATATTTAAATAGAATTGTATCAGGTACACCTCCTTTGCCTGGATGGGACCTCTTGTCTTTATGGAAACTTCTGCACAGAGGGGGCGAGAGAGAGAGGGAGAGAGATAGACAGAAATACCATTTCAGCTTCAACTCCAAAGTTCATTTGAATAGAGCCACTGCATGTGATACCACTATCCTGGCAATCACCCAAAATCTTGGCAGTGTTTCAGATGTTAAACACAGCCTTGCTAAGCTTTCTTTACAAGCAGGGCAGGCCGAGCATGGAAAAAATGAGCCCTGTGCTTACACTGAGCAATCAGCCCAAAAAAACAAGAAGATGGAGGTTGCAGGAAAGGAGGGGGGGGGGGCATTGTTACCAACCTTTCACTGTGGTTTTATTGTTTGTTGCAGACTCCAGCCCAGTGAATTCAATGTTCTTGTATCCCTGTGACATGCCAGATGCATCCACCAGAAGACTAGGGCCCATTATTAAGCTCACTTATGTTTAGCTGAAGTGGATGGAGGCCTGTGCAGTTACCCCCCCCTTCCCCCCCCCCAGCACTGAAGCCAGCATTCCAAAATCCTGGGAATCCTGTTCGATTGCAGTGAAACCGCCGTGGCCAATGATCCCTGAGGTCTCCTTGGTGTCCAGTTAGATGCTTCTGGTTTGTCATGCCCCCCAAAATAGAAATACCCCGGTAAAACCCCAGAGTAAAAGCTGTTTGTTTCTCATTCAAAAGCGGGGTATCAGGACCTTCCTTCGCCGTGCTCTATGGGAGCGGGTTTGTTACGATTATTTTTATCGACCCCTCAGCTGTCCGCTGATATCTCGCATCCGTCTAAGCAACAATACTTGGCGCGATGGCAGCGGGCGTTCCAGCCAGACTCCGCCCGCACACCGATATACTGTCGGATTTCCTTACTGGATAAATATAACCACAGTCATCCACTGGCGCTGGTCTTGCACTGGCAAAGTCCCCAGTTATTTCAGTGCATGCTATACAATAAAAGAGTGGGTTCTGCACTGCTTGTTACTGTGGCCTCAGGCAACCTCAGGTTGGGGGGTGTAGTCTTCGCTGGGGGACTGTGGGATCACGTCAAAGCCTTCGCTCGTTGACTTGGAGGAGGAAGAGGAGGAGTAGCAGTAGGGACTGCTCTTCCTTTGCCACTCGCAGTGACCTTACGGAGAGACAGGTGGAGATCAGGTAGGAGTTTCCTCAGATAGCTTCAGGATCAGGGAGCACTGACATGTTAGTAGGAGAGTAAATACATTAACCTAGCAATTAGCATTTTTCACATAATCTTAGCATGAAAATAACGTGAGGTGTTCGCACAGACGTGCTCCGTTTAGTGTAAGGTTGTATGACGAGGAAGATTTTAAAAAGGGATTATAAAAAGTAATGTAAAAATGAAAGTAAGGAAACTTTGTAGCCCCTCACCCTCAGTGGCTAATCATTTTAACTGTATCCGCGGTTCCTCCTGAACCACGGATACAATTACCATCCAGCCTTGGATTTGTCCACCGTCCGCCTGGGTTCGCGGTTGCCATGGTACCTTGTTTGTCAAAGCTTCAAAGAGCCTTAGTATGGTTTAAAGCTGTAAAAGATTCTTTGAAAAGCCAGTTTCCATTTTCTACTGAAAATGCTTGTCAGACCAGTTTTTTTAAAGCAAAGCAGGAGAGCTGTTGGCCAGTCCAGATATTCTGATATTCCAGAGCTATTCCAGTGATGTATATGCTGAATGCATAATGAATCCCGCTTGAAATCCTGTACGAAATTAATCCGCCCGTCACACAGTCAGAGAAGCATCACAAAACATCCGACATCGCCACAGCTGTGAAATCTACGTTAATACAACCGTGTGCTTCAGTTCGAGTGGAAGGCCAACCTATTGTTCTGGGGCAATAAAATATTGGTGACCTTGTTCGCCTTTGAGTCGCAATACAGAACGCCGTAGGTCTAAGAGCGAGTGTGTGTAGACTGAGGAGGGGTTGATCAGCAGCAGAGATGCACTTAACAAATGCAAAGGCGCCCCCTGGTGGCTGAAGAGGCTCTATTTCAGAATGATTTAAAAAGGCGGGCCTCGGCAAGAAATACTGAGAAGTACTTCTTTGTGGGTCCGGTTTCTTATTATAAATATTGATCAAATTTCAGCCATTTATTGATTTTATAAAATTGCCATTTGTCATTTTCATATTTTGTTCAATGACAGATACTCTGGCAAGACAGTTGTTTGTTTTTCGATGCAGTGAAATCTATTGGTTGTCATATTTATTTATTTATTTGCCTTTATTTAGTAGACACTTTAATCCAAAGCAATGTACATTTGAGAAAGCAGGGTCAACTAGTCCCTGGAGCAGTTGGAGTTAAGGGTCTTACCCAATGGCTCAAAGGAGAAATCACTTTGCAGGCCATGGGATTTGAACCAATGACCTTCTGATGATTTCTGATTAAATAGTCCATGTATGACGTTTTGTCGTACAGACCGGGAGTCCCGGGAGCATGAAGACACAGTGACAACTGAGATGACAGTGGACAAGCCTGTCATGCCCAAAGTGCCACTGTACGCCAAAGACCCCATCACGAGCAAGAAGGCACAGGCCATGCGCAAGGATAAGAAGCGGCAGCAGGAGAAGCTGAGGTCCATGGGTCACACCGACTACGCCCCACTCCCCATCGACAAGCATGAGCCAGAGTTTGTAAGCACGCCGCTTGCCGTTTCAAGAATCACTCATACAAGTGAGACGGCAGGTTCCCCAGATCATGGTTATAACTGGCACCTTCTACATCTGAATTTTACAGGGTCCATGCAGAAGAAAATTGGACGGAATCATTCAGAGAATGAAGGACACCTCTCGCGTCATGGCTCTGTCCTTGTACCTCCCTAACTGTGACAGGAAGGGATTCTTCAAACGCAAGCAGGTCTGGACCTAAACCTTAACACAAATAAGTCATAACTGAATTTAGGCACTTGTGGACGTTTAACGTCATTAATTTGCAGATGCAATCAGTCTAAGAAATTGCATATATGTAGACCCTTACTTGGTTACCAGTTGTTTTCTTAAACCCTCCCCCCCCCCCTTCATCATATTTCTTTTCCCACAGTGCAAACCCTCCCGCGGTCGCAAGCGTGGCATCTGCTGGTGCGTGGACAAGTATGGAGTTCAGCTCCCTGGCACGGACTACAGCGGTGGTGACATCCAGTGCAAAGACCTGGAGAGTGGCAGCAACATCAACGAGTGAGGAGCCTCCGCCTGACCCAGGGCCCGCCTCCTTCCTTCTCACCCATCCACCCACCAGTCACTTTGAGATTTGAAATGCAAAACAAACAAAAAACGAGTAAAGCTGAAAAACGTCGAACCTTTCTGACTGTGCGCTCATCTCTAAATAGCCGGATTCCAGCTAGGCCTGTAATATGGCTGCTCTGAAAAGAGGTGCATTTGATTTGTAAAAAAATATATATATATACATATATTTATATATTTTTTATAGAGGCTGGGGATTGAGCACCAAACTGTACATCATTAAAGTTAAGCTAATGCATCAAGAATACAGAATAAGACACATCTACGATTAACGGGGCTGTCTTGGTCTTTCACATCTCTAACTAGTGTGGTATCAGAAGAGATAGCAGGAACTCTTACGTTGGCAGAATGATTTGGCTTCATGCTTGTTTGTTCCGCAAAAAAAAGAACAAAAAAAACACATGAGATATGGATCTGCTGATACAATTCTCACTATCCAGGTGTTGGTCCTGTCAGAGCACTTAATCGTAGGGAACCTCATTTGCTTGGAAATGTGTATCTTTTGCTAGGGTCAGTGTATGTGCGTGCTTGTGCACATGTAAATGTGTGCGTGGTTGACTCCCCAGAAGAATGTCTTTTTATTTTTATTCCTGTCAGCAGCCCCTCCAGCCAGCCAGCCGCCCTGGCTACAGAGAGGGGGCTCTCTCTTTTTTCGCCCATAAACGAGGCATTTCTGGAAGTAAGGCCCGTAGGCTGAGCATAAACAGCGACTTGTTGTGGACAAACAGTTTTAAGTGACTCTATGACTCTGTAGCTAGCCTAATACGCCAACTGTGCCTATGTATACTGACGCTGCCATTGCTGTGTGACACAGTCGGGCTTCAGCAGAGAAGGTCGCTGTTGCTGGTGAGGCAGGGTAATCGGCAGACTCTGGGATTTTCCACGGACAGTGCGGGGTAGCCGTTTCTTAAACGCAGAGGAACATCCTGGAATCTACATCAAACAAAAGCGACCACGTCAAACAAACGTCACTATGGGTTTGAGTGAGGGTCGCTATGGCGACCTGAGAATTTTCAGACTGCGTTCGCCATCAGCATCGCTCTCTCTGTTTCCTATGTTCTGGGTGTGGTCTGATCTTTATTCTTTATTTTTTGACTGTCTTCTTTTCCTTCAGTGAAGTAATATCCACCCATTTGAGCCGTGTTTCTTAAGACCTGGATGCTGAGAGGGTGCAACCTTGATAAATTACTTTAAAAAAATGGATTCATGAATGTTTTGTCTTTTTATAAAAAGAAGTGGGAAAAAAAAACATGAGAGTACCGGTGCTTGAGAAAGGAACTTATATTTTAGTTTGAAAACTATGCAAAATATAAATAATTTGCATGGTCCCATCCACCATGTCACGATTGAGGGAATCTGATTTGAATTCAGGACCTTGGTCAACCCCCCCCCTGCCCTTCTCAGCTTGTCCATCACAGCCAACACTCATCATTGTCTTGATACTCTACACAGTAAATCTTCAAAGCAGCACCTGACTCACTTTTAATACTAGGAATCCAGGACGATTTCTAAAGCATCACCTGTATAACAAATGTGCAACAGCCACTGCAAGCCCCTTTAATATGAGGCTGCAGTTGCGAATGTAAATGTTTTACTATACGCAAATACATTTGTGTAGCGATTTACATATACATAGACACCAAAAGGACTTGCTAATATTGTACGTAAGTGAGGAGGCAAATTCCGGTTTCAGCCGACGTGGTAGTTATTATGTTGTCACCAATGTACTCCAAGGCAAAGAAAGGGAGATGTATGGAGAGATGTTCCAGTGTTTGGATGGCTGGATGTAACTGATGCATAAAACTGATGATGTGAGAGAACGATTCAAGGGTTGCACCCCTGTATGAAGCTGTACATCAGTAGAAATGTAGAGCGGCCTGGCTGTTTTGCTTTCCATGCTACCGCGTATTCAGAAAAGAACAGGACATGTTTCTCTGGCGGACTGCGTGTGATTAGAGATCCTGTTTCAGTAATTTTAGGGTTTAACGTTATGATCGACTAAGCGGTCATAATTTATTTAAAGGCAGACAAATGTCGTTGTAGCGCATTTCGGAACTCTTGTCTGCAAAGTGTCGCAATGGCATCTAATTTGTGTGTTTCGTTAAAGGACGGCGAGCCATGAGGTGTTTTGTTCACTCAGCCCTGAATGGCAAATGGATTCTTCAGCGATAAGCTATGATTTTAGAAAACAGAGATCACTGACGTTTATATCTTTCTACCTTTCTGAGTTTGCTTGAAGTAAGCGGGGGGATGAATTCCAAATCCACCTCTGGGGTTTTTGTAAAAAAAATAATGGGAAGTCATGCAAGAGTGCCGTGTTTCATCCGAATCGCTGACACAGTCCTGGTCGGAACCGTGCCTCGTCATTTCGAAGGCAGCTTCACTTAACGATGGAACTGTACTAAAAACAGGAGACTGACCGGCTTTCATTCGTTAGAGCTGACTGACAGCATGCAACTGGATCTCACACTAAAGGAGGAGAAGCGGCCTTCCGCTCTGTGCGAGGACTCGCTTTAGTAGCTTTGACAGGGGCAGTGCAGCCTACGCCTGGCACCCAGAACAGACGTCAGATAGGGAGAGTGCTAGTTCACACTTTACTAACCTCCGTCGGGACTTTGTAATGCACGCACGGCCTTCGAAAAGAGCACGCCTCGGCGTCAGTATAGGAGACGGCGGGAGCGCAGTGGGCAATGCTTTCATTACTGGGCCTTCACAGCGGGAAGACAGAAGTCACTACAGCAGGACATAGATACAGTTAGCTTCACAGACAAAGGGGTCTTCAGAACCTGAGGGCCAGGGAGGTACAAATCAGCATTGTGTCTCGCACGCCCTTGATTATGCACCATCAGATTCCAATACAATTCAAGTTGCCAATGCACAGTCTGGACCGGGTTTGAAGTTATATCAAACCTGTTATATGCGATGAGCTCTGAACTCAAAAATGAACCAACGTTTATAGTCTGGAGCCTGGAATGGTGCAGATTTTTACAATATTTGCAGATCGAACTCACCTGAGATCAGAAATGCCCCCAACTCCAAAGCTAATTAAAATTCTACATTTGATTCGGTGTAATCGCTGGTGTGGACAAATGCTGATTTTTAAGCTGCAATTTAAGCTTTCGTAAACTTTCCCTGTGTTTCATCAGATTCTGAGTCTCCTACCTGGTTAGACTAATGCAATAATCACAACTCATATTATGGTAGTAACTACAGTTTTGTTTCTGAATGCATAACTATTTTGGGAAAAATGGAAACTCAAATGATTTGTTATGTAAATGTGACATGAACCGGCCCGTGAAATGAGACCCATTTGTGACAGGAGGACCGTGAAAATGTTCAGCATTTGGAACTCTCTAAATTTTTAAAAAGAAGAAAAAATTTTAAAAATCTCAAATTATAAAGAAAGTGAATATCACTGTGTAATATTTATTCATTCAACTTGTAATTTATGTACTCTTTTAACCTTTGTCTTTTTTGGTATGACAAAGCATTTATTTAAATAAAGTTATGTATTCATTTAAAAGGAGTGGCAGTGTGTTTTCATGTGCATGGGTGCTCGTTCTTGTCCGAGAAACATACAGACACGTCTACAAATCCTGGGATGACCAGCCTTACAATAAAGGGAAAAACTGTGTCTTACAACAAACACTTTTTTTGTGAAAATGGATATTTCAGAAAGTAATCCAGGTTAAATACCTATTTAGGCAGGCATAAGAAGGTTTCCATTTTGGTTTCTGAACAAGGAACATCTTGGTCTAGTGTCTTAAGACTGGTTTCTCAACCACAGCATTATCTGCTGCCTGAAGACGAGGTTTTGTATTTAAAGAAGCAATTAGGCTTAAGTACCATATGCTCATGGGTTATTCACTTCGGACTTGATCTATATTGTAAATGCATGCAATGCAGTGTATGTAATGACCTTAGATATCAACATTGCGGAGTAATTGCTGCATCCCACAGAACAGTTTCCAGACATCTACTTGACTCTATGCCATACAGCACTCATGTAAAGCTGGTAAACACAGATGAACACATTTGTTCTTGCCTTTTTGCATTCTCTGTGTACATTATTTCTGCATTGATACTTTTTGCAGGTCGGTAGATAGATACAATGGTGGGTTAGTCGGTAACTTAATACAGTGACAGTCAACAAGGACTGCACATTAAAAGGTATAACTTAACTGTGACACGTGCACAGAGGCAAGTCGTCAGAACTTGAGAGGAGGTTCCCTAGGAACAAGGAAGAATTTTAGGATGATGCAAGACACAAACCAACCTAACACTGAAACGACTATGGAAATCAAATTACGCATCTGCGATGGAGTTCCTCATAGTCAGAAATACGTATCAACATAGTTAACATACTTACGATGCCAGAACACAGAGCTGGACATCTCTTGTTCATAGGCCATGCAGTGTTCCGAACAACAGCAGTGAAAACTAGGCAATATCACCAGTGGCTAAGCAGAAAGAATGGCTAGAATCAGGGGGAGCTGTGTAATAAATCCAAGGAATCAAGAGTGAGCGTGAACAGCACGTCAAAGACAGTAGGTAGTACCTACCAAGCGGCATTGTGCACCTCCTCGAGAGAGAGGCCTGCTAGGGATAACTCCTGTTTAGCCTACAGCCAGGGAGAGTACAGAGAAGACCAAAAAATGGGGGGAGTGCATCTTGCAGTGTTATAGAATCCAGATGTGTGAAAGGAACCTCAAAGGTGCTCATTCGCTGTGAGAGACTGAACACAGAGAGGCGCAAATTGAGACCTGGGGAGAAACACGTGTGCGTAGATTTGATTTGCGAGTTAGCAAACGTGACAATTACGATACCTTTCAAAGAAGCTGACAACTGCATTTAAGACTTCAAAGCGTTCATGAATCTCTGTCCTCTATCTCACAATTAGCCTAGCGGCAATGGATGATTTAATCTAAACATGCAACTTTGGAGTTTGAAACTCCAAATCTTGGAAGGCAGTGATGCAGATTCTTCCAGCTAACAGCTAACTCTTACCGAGACCCATTTTGTGCCCCGTAAGCATATATACAAACACACACACAGACACACACACACTCACATATATACTCTTGTAACCTTTGTTTTTTTTTGGTATGGCAAAGCATTTGTTTTATTGTTTTTTTTTTCTTATGTCATTTCAATTTATTTAAACTGAAAGGGTGCCACACACACACACACACACACACACATACTATATATGCCATCCTTTCAGTTAAATTTCTTGTGGAAACAGCATATAAGCCTCCACCAAAATGGCTATGGAAATTTCCAGAAATTTCCAGAATAACCCAAGCAAATTCTCCTGCTTCATGATCTCCAGGCCACTGCATAGAGGAACATCCTTTGTTCAGCTTTTTCTTTGTTAGAAGGAATACATTTTTCTTTTTTAAAACTTTGATATTTTACAAATATAAAAAAGCAAGGACATCGGCCAGAAGAACACAGGTAATATCTGTTTAATGATATACTGCATATCAGGACAAGACTTACACCAAATTAATATATCTTCTCATACATTTCTAACTTTCTTTAATAGCTACATGTATGCTTCTCCATTTAAATGCAGATGTAACACGAACGTGACCTTCACTGAGGTGGCCTTATATAAACTGAGCTGTTGTGAATCTTCTCGTGTCATCCTTTCCAAACACTGGAGAGAACGCAAGGTAAGCAAGCAACACGTAGGGCACATGGCGTTCTCGCTTCACTGTCGAAATTCCCCATGTCACTGGTGTGACACTGTCCAAACAGAAAGCCGGCTCTGATGGCTGACGCCGGTCTAACGCACCAGCAGATGGGGAATACTCCTGCCTTGCCCCACCCTGCCGGCCCGTGCTGGCCAATCAGAAGCCGGCACGGGCCACAGGCGCAGAACCCGCTTTGTCTCCAAACTAGGCCAAGCTCAAACTACCGGAAAATTCACTGTACAACCGGGGAGGGAAAGGGAAACACGCCGGCACCCGCCCAAGCAGTTGCGGCCGAAATGGACCTGACTTCACGGCAGGTCTCAGTCCCCACAAAAGCTGTGCTTGTGTGACTGACTGCAACCTAGGGTGTCACAGTGAGAAACCCCATTAAGCTGGAAATCTAATCAGGAAAAATGCGCTGTCCCACAGACACACAGGTGGACAATGCGGACACAGCTGGCCAGTGCAGTGTGACATTTGTTTCAGAATTATAATTAATTAGGCCTTATTATTATTACTATTAATGGTTTTTGAAGATTTCAGCTGTGGAAGAGTCAGGACAATATCATTTTCATTTAAAAATTACTACAATGATTATAAGACTCCTGATGCATGGGCGTGTAAATAGGGAGCTTGATTGTTTTGGAATGCAGGTATTGTGAAGAGTGCTTGGATGGGGCCCTGTGAATTTTCTGGGGTATTAAGGACTCTTTCTTAAATTTGTCATTTCAGGAAGGTCCAAAAGTATGTTAGAGCTCATCAGAGTCACCCCAGAGAGTCATGAGCCATGCCACGCCCTGGGCCTGCCGCTACCGGTTGTGGATTTGCAAAGGCTATATTTACATCAAGTCAAACCCATGTAATATCGCATCTGTCAATGTTGGGCTCCCGTCCTAATCTCGCCTTCTGTCAGCACTTCGTTAGTAAAGCCACCCTCTCCATCCCTCCCCAGGACGGTGTCACATGGCTGGGTGCGGGGAGCGACTGGGTGAAGGGGGAACGAGGTCTTTCCAAGCGGCATGCTTTCCGTGCCGCCCCACAATCCCTGGCAACGGAGCTGGCACCCAGCAGGGCGCTCTCTGAGGGTGGCACCAATGCTAGTGGGGGGGGGG